ATTTGCTCAACCCAATTAAGTCTCCTGGAACTCGGATCATGGGAATGGAGATGTCCCGTGGTGCAGCAGGCGACCACGGCAAAGTTGGTGCTTTGGGTATCAAACCCACTTTAACCGACGAAATCCCCAGGTATTTGGGAGAAAATTAAGCTGCCTTTAAGACAGGCTTCCCTCCTCTTGGTGCCACCCCATCGCAGGCCCCAGTGTGTCCCTGTGCCAACCGCAGGGATGCAACGCTGGACTGGGAACCAGTTTGCCCTGACCTGCTACAACAGCCAGCAATGCAAGATGCCCTTGGGGACACCTCTCCTCCCTGTCTGCCAGCTCTAACGATTCCGTGAAAACAGCAGGAGCTGTTTTCAACTGAATTGACGGGAAAACCACACTTTCTTTCTTTCTTTTCGTGGGTTGCCTTCCCTCGGAATGAGGTGTCTGAAGTGGTGCATCCCCAGGGGTCCCTGGCTGCAGAGGAACAGCGGGGAGAAAAGCAGGGGAAGGGGAGAAAAGCAGGGGAAGAGGAGAAAAGCAGGGGAAGAGGAGAAAAGCAGGGGAAGAGGAGAAAAGCAGGGGAAGGGGAGAAAAGCAGGGGAAGGGGAGAAAAGTGGGGGAGAGGACGAAAAGCAGAACAACTTTTTTGAGGCTGCTACACTAAATTAGGGGAAACAACAAGCTGCGCCTTGAGCCTCGGAAAATCCAGCTGCAGCACTCGGTGTTGCCTTTGGCTCAGCAGGGATAACAATAAACCCCCTCTCCTACCTTCTGCATGTCCTGGTTAGACAGACTGTAACGGACGGGGGCTGTCACTTATTATGTGCTTGTTTAGCGCCTGGCACAGCGCGGCTCTGATCTCGACTCAAACCCACGGCTGCTGCACGAACAATAGGACTGAAACGAATCTGATGGCTGGTGGTGGGGAGGTCACCGGCTGCCTGACGTCTGCTCCCCGGGAGGAACTGGCACAGGCTGCAGAGTTCGTGCTGCCTCCCTCCAGGGTCGTGTGCCACGAGGATGCATCCCAGCCCCAAAAGAAGGAATTTCCAGGCTCCATCCCTGCCACCCTTGGGAATTGCCCCGTGTCCAGCAGCGGTTACCTCGGCAGCTGGTTCAGGAACCCAAATGGGTTATTTTCTTGGTGTTACTGTAACTAATAAGTAAAATTAATTTGTTGATGTTAACGTAATGGGCTACATTAGAGCTGACAGAGGAAATATGCTGTCTGAGAGCAGGCGTTCAGGGGCTTGGCAGGAATCCCTACCTTTGCTCGCTCTCTGCCAGGTGATGTTCTCCTCTCACAGAAGGTTGCTCCAGCCGGCCGCCGTGGCCGTGCCACCTCCCGCGACAGAGCCCGGGCTGCTCCTGCCTCATTTAACCCCACCATAGAGATGCCACACGCTGACATCTCTCCTGAGCTGTAGCTTTCTCCACATGCAGTGAGGTTAAACATATTAAAGAACTGTGAAAAAACAGAGGAGGTAAAATCAGTGCTTTTATCTCGGGGCTTAAAATTGATTTTTTCAAATCTGCCACCAGTCACAGTCTAACTAACCCGCAGCATCCCGGTGGGAACGCAGGGCAAAGGGTGCCAGCGTGGGAGAAAGCAGCCACAAAGAAAACCTCCAAACTGGAACCACGGCTTTTCATACCTGTCACGATGTGGATTTTCAGCTTGAGCACACAAGGCTGAGCTCAGGGGACACTGTCATGTAGATTTAGGGCTTTATCTCCTTTCCTCTCCATTAGCTGTGATACCCTCTTATTATGCTGAAAACCGAAGCTTTTTTTTTTCCTTCCACCACTTGTTCCCCTTCCCACTGGGCAAATATCGATCTGCCTGTGTCCTCGGCACGGGTTGAAACCAGCCCTGTTCATCCTCTGCCTGCTCATGGGGCTGAGAGCTCGGTGGTGCCACCTCTCATGCCGTCAGCCACCGAAGCAGAAGCCGGGAGCGGAGGGTTGCCAATCGACTTGCCCGTGGTTTTCTCTCCCCATCCTCTCCCTCCCTGCGCTGGCGGTGACAGAGCAACTGAACAGGATGGGTCTGATTGCGCTTGGCAGGTGAAGAGGGGATGGAAAAGGAAAAGAGAGACAGAGCAGCTCAGGATAACTCCATGAATTTTTTGCAGCCGTGACGTGTGTCCGTATCCTGCAGCACCTTGGGCGAGAGAGCTCTCCAGGCAGAGGAGCAAATACTGGGGCTGGCCTATGCAGGAGGCTGCCCCCACTTATCTTGGGGCGTGATTTTAAACCAATTTAATTAAATTGCTTGGCAGGGTTGTGAGGGCTCATCTATTTCAGCTAGAGCCAGGTCTGTTTTGATTTAGCGTTGGCTGATTAGGAATTAGCTGAAACAAACCTCTCAGAAAACAAAATTAGAGGGTGCACACTAACTTTTTGCACCAGATTAAGCTGAATTAAAAAGCAATTGAAATGTAATTTTCCTGTCTCAAGCAGCCAAGAAACAAGATAATGCAACCAGTGGCACTTGAAGCTTAAACATAACAGCAACTAGGATTAGCACAACTTGCTTTTTAATGCCCACAAATAACAGATTTATCCAAAGGTCTTCTTTCAAGCCTCCCCCCAGCAACTTCCACACAAAGATTCACACAATTCGTTTCATTTGCTTTGAAAGGAAGAATCGCTGTGACCCCAGGATTCAAATCTATGACTTTAAGCAGCCTGGGTATCACACAGGGCATTTCCACAGGTATTTCCATGCTGGAAATAGCCACAGAGTGAACCAGTTGTTCTTTGTAAAATTTAGCTTGAATTGGCTCCTGGACTGTGCTCCTGGGGTGCAGAGGGTGCAGACCCCAGCAGTGGGTGCTGCTCCCACCACCACCTCTCTCCCACCTTCCCGCAGCGAGCCCAGGCGCCTGCTCTGGATTGCTGTGCTCCCTGCCTCCCTCGCAGAAAAGGGTGTCCAGTCATTTAAAATCAGGCTTTAATTAAATATTTTAGCAGCTGCTTTCCTGATGCATTTGGCAAGCACTACTCTTCCTCTCCCCGTCGGCTGAACCGGGCAGTCACCTCTGCACACACAGAGGGACATGGAGCAGTTTTTATGGGGCTTTGTTTAAAAAGATGATGGCTTGGAGGGTTTGCAAAACCCAGGATGCCTTCGGGGCCGCAGAGTCCCTAGAAGTGCCCGCAATCTATAGCCAAACCCTGTTGCAAGCGGTTATTTTGAGAGCCAGGATGCTCTGGTCTCCATTGGCCAGAGCAGTAGGAGAAGCTGTGTGAGCAGCCTGAGCATCGGCGTGTAACTGGTGTCAGGGCACCCGAAACGCAAACAGTCTCTTGACAAAAGCTGATGGAGACGGTGACAGGCGCAGAACGCAGCCTGGTAAGAGCCGTGTCATTGCCCAGCAGCTCCTGGCCAGGGGTTAGCTCAGGAGGGAAGGCACCACCACCCATCCTCCCTCAAGTGGATCCAGGTGGCCATGGTGAGGGAGCAGCTGGAGATAATAAGTGGATTCCAGCCTGGCAAGAGCCAATCGTTGTGGGGGAGCAGGGGGCTACGTGGCTCCAGGGGGGCAATAAAAGAAGCAGGCTGAGGGGGAGAGGGTATGAGAGAGAATTAAGGTGGGTGGTTTTCCTTCTGTTTGTAGCGCTGGGTGTCTGGTTTGTAGTGCTGGGTGTCTGGTCTTTCCTTTTCATTCTGTGCCTGGTGTGGGGCTGCTGGTTGGACTCTTGTGCTGGGTGTCCTGCTTGGGCAGTGCCAGCGTGGTGGGGGCTGTGGTGCACCTCTGCTTGAGGGGACAGGCCTTTTGGGGTGTTACTGTTCCCCTCTGCTTGAGGGAAAACAAAAGAAAGGCGGCTGAAGCAGCCTTTTTGAGCTTAGGGCTTAAGGCTGTGGAGTGCAATTGGCCTGAGCCAAGGAGTGGCTCATCCAGGACCTTGTGAGCTGGGGGAGGGCTGCAGCTCAGCAACTGGCTTGTGTGGTGAGGAGCTGGTGCTGCTGGTACCTAGCCTTGGCTGTTAGAGCAGGAGATAGAGAGGATTCAAAAAAAAAAACAAAAAAAAACAAAAAAAAAACCAAAAAACAACCGTGAAACTTAAATGCTACAAGGGGAGTTCTTGGGGGCTGGTCTGACCCACAGGTGTTGGCTGTGAGCCTCAAGGGAAGGTGAAGGTGCATCATTTGTGTGTTTAGGCAGAGCCTGGCTTTAGGGGGGTCCTTGGTGGTGGCTGGTTCCTCTGAAAACACCACCACTACTGCTTCTAGGTAGAAGCCTTGCTTCTGCTGGCCAAAACTGTCTGTGGGCCTGTTCTTGGCCTTGTTTGTGGCATGTCTGTGGCTCTCTCACTGGTAGAAATGGCTTACCCTGTCTCTAGTCAATATTTCTCACCTGGCAGCCCCTAGCAGTAGCTGAGCTTCCAGGAGAACTTTCTGCCTAGTTGAACTTGGTCCCTTCATGCCACTGCACGTGACCTTGTGTCTTTCCTTATGGGGGTCCCCACTGTGGGAAGCCAAGCTGGGCTGTGTGGTGAGAGGGATCGGCTTGGATATGGCTACTTGTCCTTAAATCAGACCTTGAGCTGATCTCTTTAGAGGCAAGAGGCCTTGCCAAGCTTGGGCTCCATTTCTAAGTAAGCCCAAGAGCTCTGGGATCAGAGCTGGAGGAAGGTGATGTTTCTGTAACCAGGAGAAGTGGTGTGTCCAGCTTCCTCATGGGATTACAGCGGCAGCAGCTGTAATTCCTGTAGCCTGGTGTTAAGTGGTAGTTTGTGCTTGCATTTAATTCAGTAGCTCAGCTGCAGCATGTGAGGATCCTACTGAGCACTGTGAAGAGCAGGGCACCTCCATCCTCTCCTGTGCTGGGGAGGTGTGGGAGAAAATGTGGGGCACAGGCTGCTGGTTGGGAGTCTGGGGGATCACAGACCCTTCCGTGGGTGGAGGTGGATGTTGCTGTGGAGCTGTGACCTCACCCTGCTCTGTCCTGACCCCAAAAAGCACCTGAAGGCTTTCAGCTGGCACCTATCTCAAACCTGCCAAGATGCCGGTCATCAATGAGCACAACGAGAGGATGAAGAAATTCAAGAACAAGGGCAAGGATGCAGCCGTAAGTATCGATCTCCGCCACCTGCGTGTGCCCCATCCCCTTTGGACAGTGGCCCCCACTGGGTTTTTTTTCTCTGTCAGTAGGAGCTGATGTGGAGGCTGATTGCCCCCCAAATCTAGCTGTATGGGGGTAGCGAATGGGGTGGGAGGGCTCTGCCAGCAGGGTGCTCAGTTAGTTTTTGAGATGTGGTGAGGAGCTGGCTGGGCTTCAACGAGTGCAGTGGCACAGGCAAGAGGGATGTGATTTTTGGGTGGGTAGCTCTGAACGGCGCTGGGGAAAGGAGCTGGTTCAGCCTCAGCCTGCCAAGCTCTCCGCAGCAGTTATCCCAGCAGCGAAGGGGCTGGTATGGGATGCAAGGCTGTGAGCTTGCTTTAGCTGGGAGAGGAGATGAGGGGCTGCCTGTGAGGTTCAGCAAATCTACTTGTAAAAACCCTCGCTGGTTGCTGCTTCATCCAGCAGCTCATGCACTTGGGAGGCACTAAGCAAGGATCTTTACTCTGTCCCATCTCCTAAATAACCCTCCAGGCCGTAGCAAGTGCTGGCACTCTGCTCCCCTCATGTAGGGAACGTGGGGAAGAGGGGGGCAGAGATGAGCTCCTGGGGGAATTGGGTGGTGCAGACACCGGCAGGGTGGTCCCCTCCTCCTCCCCTCCAGGCCCTGCGGAGACAGAGGATGGAGACGAGCATTGTGCTGCGCAAGGCCAAGAAGGATGAGCAGATCCTGAAGCGCAGGAGTATTTCGTTCGGTTTGACGGATGACGTGCTTTCTCCAGGAGAAGAAAAAAGAGATGAGGTGAGTGCTGGGTGCTCTGCACCCAGGCAGGATCAGTGCTGCAGCTTATGCGGTAGTTATTCACTACTACTTGAACCACTAGCAAGTTCAGCCCAGGTGACCCCTGTTAAGTAGCCAGTGCTGTTCCTGATCACCATGCTGAGTGTCAGGGAGTGTTTTGGACTGCCGAGCCTTTTTCTGTGGTGTTTTGCATGGAGGTGATGTCCCATGTGGCTTCCCTTCATGGCAGGTAGAACTGGCTGGTGCTCCAGCTTGCTGGGAGCTGGCAGAGCTCCCGTCTGGCTCCCTGTGCAGTGAGGGGTAATTACTGAGCTCGTAGGCCCATTATGGTGTGTCAGTGACTCTTTCTATGCTTGATTATAAGGATTGGTTGCCTTGAAGGCTTTTGTGGATTCTCTTCCTCTGCCTCATCTCGAAACTGCATTGCACAAAGAATAGACATTGCTTAGATATGAAGTGGTGACTGACTCGGGTCTAGACAGCTGATTGACTGCGGAGATTAAACCGGAGGGAGTCCTGGCTTGCTGTCTGATTCTGAATCATTCCCTGTGACACAGATTATTCAGCTGTCCTTGGAGGAAATCGTTGAAGCTGTGAATGGGAGCGATGGTGAGCTGCAGCTGCAGGCAACGCAGGCCACCAGGTATGCTGCCAGGCTGCTCCGTGCTGGGAGGGAGGTGGCTGATGGAGCTGTGGTGGGTCCTGTCGCAGAAGCCGTTTATTCTGTGTTAAAGAGATCTCTGAAGAGATGGCAAAGGGGGGAGGAGGCTGGTAACCTGAACTGCCCTGAGGGACCTCAGCTGGTGCCTGTTCTGTGCCCTGTGTGTCTTGCCTGGCTCCGTCACAGGTGGGGACCTGTGTGGTTGGACTAAACCAAGGGGTTGTCTGTGGCTCTTGGAGGTGCTTCACTCACTGTTCTTGCGCTGGGGTGGGAATCACGTTGGACCCTCAAGAATTCAGGTGCCAAAGGCTTGGGCAGGACAAGAGCTGGAGAGCCTGGCTTTGTGTAAGGGTCACTGCTGAGCAGAGCTGTCCCTGCTGGATGGGGGCAGGAAGGATTCCAGGGTGCCACCATCACCCAGCTGGCAGCAGGGACCTCTCCTGAGGGTCCATTGCTGCTGGTGCTTCCTTGGCAGGCTCGAGCCACATCAGCAACGTGCCCATGTACCAAGGGACCAGCACTGTTCCCAGGGGCTGTGAGGACATCTGCTCATGGTGAGCAGATAAAAATCTTTGTTGCCAAGCTGTTAACCAGAGGCTGGCCGGAGCAGACCCTGCCAAAAGGGCCGAGTCATGACTTATTCCCTAATGTGCTGTGCAGAGCTCGCCCAAACCAAGGCTCCTCGCACCCAGGGTGCCCTGACAGTGCACCGTACCAGTGGCAGCACTAACATGTTCACACCTCTGTGCTAACTCTGTGCCAGCTCTCATGAACCAAGCTTAGAAGCAGATCTGACTGGAATAGTTTCTTTTTCTGGCTCTCTGCTCCCACTTCCCTGGCAGCTGCACGTGCTTCTGCACCAGTGTGAGGCAGGAAGCAGCAGCAGGTTAGTTGGCGGTTCTGCTTTTCAGCTGGAAAAGCAGTCTGTGAAACTTCATTTTAAGTGTGAGCTCTGGGCTGGCAGAAGCAGGATTGCAGCGTGTAAGTGAACAAACTGCAGATACTGGTATTTTTAACTCTCAAACTCCTGCAAGGTGGGGAGCATGGAATAACGTTGTCATGGTCCCAAAGAGATGTGCACAGTATTGCACTCTAACAGACTCTTGCTCCAGCGTCTTCTTAGAGAGGCTTCTGCAGGAGATGCATCTATGGACACTTCTCTCCTAGAGGGTTTGACCTGGGATGCTGAACCAGTGCTGTTTCCCTGTGAGCCACAACCTTGTACCTGGCCACAGGGCTATGGTTCATGATGGCACCACGTGGGATTTCTCAGGGCAGGCTGTGCTGTGTCCTCTCTTGCAGGAAAATGTTGTCCAGGCAGACTAACCCTCCTATCAATCAGATCATCGAGCTGGGGATCATCCCCAGGCTGGTTGAATTCCTGACCTACGCTGACAATGCTCCTCTGCAGTTCGAAGCAGCCTGGGCACTGACTAACATCGCCTCTGGCACCTCCGAGAACACCAGGGCGGTGGTGGAGGCAGGTGCCATCCCAGTCTTCATCTCGCTCCTGTCCTCCCCGCACATGTACATCAGCGAGCAGGCCGTGTGGGCACTGGGCAACATCGCAGGTGAGCAGAGGTCTCCGGGCCTGGGCTTGGAGGCGTGGAGATGGTCACTGCCCAAGGTCGTGCTGAGGAGCTGCAAACGTTGGTGCTCCTCCAGATAGCCTTGTCTCCCTGCAGCTTTGTCTCCAAGCTGCTGTCCCTGTTGCAACCCTTAACCCCTCAGTCCTGTCACATGGCCTGGCAGCCTTTGAGCCCGTGTGATGGTTCTGCGAGAGGATTTTTGGCCAAAGCCAAGTGCAAGACTCCATCTTGCTGGGATGGTCTCACTCACTACCGTTATCAGCAGGGGGAACAGAATGGGTCATGTCTGGTTAGCCTGGCACGAGCTAGCCATGGTGGGACTCCAGTCTGCCTGGTAAACCCTCCCTGCCCGAAAACAGTTCATGGTGTGTGGCTGGTGAGTGAGCCCAGCTGTGGCCTGTGCCTCCAGGTCTGATTGCTCTTTGATGTTGACTGTCTTGTGACTCAGGCAGAGGCAATAAACAACCCTTTTTCATCTGTGCAGGTGATGGTCCTCTGTACAGAGATGCTCTTATCAAATGCAATGTGATTCCTCCCTTGCTGGCTCTGGTGTCACCTACAACTCCAGTAAATAACCTTCATTTTCTTGGCTTAACAGCTCTTAATCACTTGGGTGATGGGCGAATGGTGGGCTATCTGCCTTATAAATGACAAACTGTCTAATTGAATGAGACCCTGTCCTAAACTGCTTTTAATGACCCTGCCTCTGGGCTGTATCCAAAGCTGGGGGAGATGCCAAGCAGCCAAGTCAGTGTGATATCTTCTAGTCTTAGCTTCCCTATCTGGCTTTGATCACCTCAAACTAGGAGTAAGAAGAAACTGGTGTGACGTAGACTTACATATGCCTGTGGAAGGACTGAGCTTGCCCTTTGAGCTTCCTCCTGCTGTTTTTTGGGTAGCTCTGAACTTCTGGATTCATGGCTGATCTCTGTCCTTCTGCAGTGGTGCTTGCCCCACTGCTTTCTCTGTCTCTGGGGCAGAAGGACCTTCTCAGAAGCATACGGTGGACTGAGAAGCTCTGGGGCTGTAAAAGCTGTACCAATGTCTCTGACTTTCCCATCCCTGGGAGTGGTGGTAGCTGTGTGCTTTCTGCAGGTGTAACTATGGCCTTTTGAGCTAGTGTTAAAACAACACCCTCTAGGCCTTCTATGAATTTATATTGAACGTATAGTAATTTTTTTTAAATAAAAACCAGCTCTTCTGGCTGCTCTGTTCCTAGCCCAACTCACCATTACCTCCTCTTAAGGAACCACATAGAAATACGACAGACCACCAGTTTGTGGTGGCTGCAGTGCTTTGATTGTAGCTCCCTTGCTCTCCTGGGAGCATCCTTACTGGGATGAGCTGTCTGAAGGTGCCTCACTCTAGAACAATGAGTTGATAATACAAAAAAATCCCTCAAACCAGACCAATTCCTGACTGTATGTGAAGAATGCTCTTAACTTGCTCAAGGACCCAGCAAATAAGCTGTTTGGCACCTTCATTAGTTGTAGTAGCTTGTCACACCCTGGAGCTCAAGTTAGTGGAACTTAACATTGGGAAGGGAAAGGGGGAATGTGCTGTTTTAGTCATCTGTTTCATCCCACTTCAGAAAAGACTCAGCCCTTAAGAAGGCTGCATCCTGGCTACGGGATAACGTCTCTGAGCTGGAAGGACTAGGGAGCTACCTTTCTCACTTGTTACGGCTGTAAGGATCTTACACTTTGCTTGTGTTTCAGATTGGGTTCCTGAGGAACATTGCATGGACCTTATCAAACCTCTGTAGGAGCAAGAACCCCTACCCTCCCCTGGACGCGGTGAAAAAGATACTGCCAGTCCTCATCTGCCTCCTGCAACATGAGGACAAGGACATAATTTCTGACTCCTGCTGGGCTGTTTCCTATCTGACCGATGGCTCCAACGATCGCATCCAAATTGTGGTGGATACAGGGATTCTTCCAAGGCTGGTGGAACTCTTGGCCAGCCTGGAGTTGATTGTTATGGTAGGAAACAATCAGTAATCTCTGGTCCCTTAATGTAGGAACATCTGAGGAGAGGGAAGGCACATCTCCTCCTTACTATAGGTGGCCAGTGTGGTGTGCTGTCTCCTCAGACAACTTGGTTGTTGGTCAAGCCATTGCTCTGTTCCAGCTTGCTGTGACTGGTAGGCTGCAAAGCTGCTTAGAGCAAAACAGGAGGATGATGGGTCTATAAATACAGCAGTAATTGCCTGTGATATTTTCCCTATTTGAAGGATCAAGCACTTAGTGAGGGATCTCGCTGGACTTTCTAGCACGTATCCCTTGAGGTAAGGATTCTCCTCATCTCCTTTAATCCTTGTCTAGGCTCCAGCTCTCCGTGCCATTGGGAATGTAGTCACAGGGACTGATGAGCAGACCCAGGCAGCTATTGACGCCGGCATTTTGGCTGTCCTGCCCCATCTCCTGCGCCATGCAAAGCCAACTATACAGAAAGAAGCTGCATGGGCGCTCAGTAACATTGCAGCAGGGCCTTGCCAGCAGATCCAGCAACTCATCACCTGTGGGTTACTGCCACCTTTGGTGGAGCTGCTTGATAAGGTGAGGGATGGGTGCAGCTGCTGCAGGAGCAGTGCTGAGGTTCGCGAGGCTCACGATGCCTCCATTTATGAAGGACTTGGTGTGTGTTCACCTGAGGGATCTTCTTCAAAGCTACTGAGATCCTTGGAACAGCCTGGACACTCAAACTTGTCAATACACGTGCATGAAAGCATGGCTTGGAGCTGCTCTTGGCAGTTCTGTGAGGTGTCCACCCATCACTCCAAGTGTTGGGGAAGGAGGATCAGCCCAAGCTGAATACAAGGACAATGGTTATCCTTGCCTTATGCTGACTTAGACACTGAAGCTTGAGGGTGCCTTTACTGTGTTGCTCTTTCAGGGGGACTTCAAAGCTCAGAAGGAGGCTGTGTGGGCAGTGGCCAACTTCATGACAGGAAGCACTGTGGAGCAGGTGGTGGAGCTGGTCCACTCCGGGGTCCTCAAACCTCTGCTCAACCTACTCTCAATCAAAGACAGCAAAACTATCCTGGTCATCCTGGATACCATTTCAAATCTCTTCCTGGTAAGACCTATGTCTCACATTCTGTCTCCAAGAGAACAGTGAAGTGTGAGCTGAATGTTCCCATTGTGTGGTTAGACCAGCAGCTTGCAGGAGTAAGAGGTAGACTTCATGTTGTTTAACTTGTTCTTGGACACCCTTGGGTTGTCTGAAGGGCTTGACAAGACTAAGTTCTTAAAGCGTTCCTCTTCACTTCCTGGGACTTCTGACCTCCAGGAAAGGAAAAGATGTGTTAATCCCCAAGTTGGACAGAGGTGAAGGTCTTAAAAAGTGGTCCTGGGAGTTATCTCAGATCAGCTCCCTGCTAGCTGATGTCTATGCACTTGAAAGTATGTTTCTTGTAGCACCTTTGAGTGAAATGGCTTTTGCAAACGAAATAGTGGCTGGCAGGTCACACCTGCTGCTTCTCAGTGTGTGGATGTGACTCAGGGGGCGGGGGTTGGCCAGCTTGTTGGGTTGGCAGTAGCCCCAGCAGGGACTGGTGTTTCATCTACGTAGTAGTCATATCCCTGGGATCAGGTAGGGACTGTAAATGCAGGGATCGTGGACCCTTGACTTGTAGATCAGGGTCTTACAGTAAAGACCATCTCAGATCTGTCACTGATAGAAGGTTTTATTTTCCTGCTTGGTTATCTGATGTTATAGGCAGCTGAGAAGCTGGGAGAGGTAGACAGGTTGTGTCTGCTGGTGGAAGAGCTTGATGGTCTGGAGAAAATTGAAGCCCTGCAAACCCATGAAAACAATATGGTCTACCGAGCTGCACTGAATATCATGGAGAAATACTTTTCTGGTGAGGTATGTGAGCTCCTGCTGTTTCTCATTTGAAAACATGAAGCTGTTAGACACTGGAATGAAGCACAGGCTTTAAGGATGCTGAAACAGGGTTTTGAAAGAGACCTCTACATGACTAGTCCCTGCAGCTTGTTCCAGTTGCTTTTAAAGGACTGTAAAAGCCCCAAGTTTTCACCAGATGGGTTGCATGAGATATGGGAGCCTCATCTTGCTGTTGGGATATAAGCAGAATCAGCTGAAGTTATTGCAGTTGCTGATACGAAAACCTAACGTGGAGAAGCCTCCTCCTTCTGAGCTAGCTTGTCACTATGAATGGAAGCCCGCTACTCTGCTGATAACCACGCTCAGGTTGCATTTGGATTACTTGACACTTCTCATGCTAATGAACTTACGGAAAAAGAGGACAGTACACTAGCTAGCAGTTGTGAGAGCCTCATGACTGTCCAGATGCCACGCTGGGTCCTAGCCTTTGTCTCACAGATGGGGAAACATCAGGGAAGAGGCTTAGCAGTTTGGCAGATCTTGAAGCTGAGGCTTAGTCTGGATGTGAGCCACAGCAGCAGGGAGCAAGTGTCTGGTTTAGTCCTTTTGCCCAGAAGAGGGTCTGTGGGATGTCCCTGCAAGAGGATGTGGAGGAAGCTCTCCTACACATGGCACCTGTCTGAAGGGCTGGATGCCAGGGGGGGGCATCTCTCCAAAGCAGTCCTGGCTTGCTGCTCTTCCAAGCAGGCTACTTGACTTGAGTGAATTCTGCCACTCCAGCCACTTCCTTCTTCTACCTCTAGTGCCTGAGCCTCTAGACTTGGGTCCTTTTTGTGTGTGAGATGCAGAGACACTGCAGCTTCAGTGTGCTGTGAAGAACAGGAGGACTTACTCTGGTCTCCGAGGGTCTGGTTAGAGTCAAGCTGATCTTAATGGCTTGTTAGAGCAGCAGAATTTTGTAAAATAAGAATGAGTAAGCTGCTGTAAAAAGCTAAGGCTTATTAAGATGCAGAACCTTTAACTGATGGTTATCAACTTTCTCATAGGAAAACTCAGATCTGCAGCCTGGGACTGACCAAGATGGGCTATATGATTTTTCAGTGAAGAAGCAAGACTTCAACTTCTGAAGACAAATTGCTACACAGCTCTGAGCTGGTGGGTGGAGGTGTCTTTGTAGAGCTCAGACATCCAAACTGAGAGGAGCGAAGATGCTGAGCCTCTTTTACTTTTGAAACTTGTCAATAAATTGCACTTCTGGCTTTGTACTTTTTGCCTATTGATTTACTCTTCCCTCCCTGCCCCATAAGATGCTCTTGCAAACAGCATAGACATTTTCTTTCCATGTCTTAAGGCTCTGCAGAAATATACTGGAGCTCCTAGGCATGTTTTCTGGGTGGAAAGTGAAGCCAGAAGCCTTCTTCTAACTGCATAAAGCTTCTGGAGAGCTGGAGTTAGTATCAAATCCAGTTGGGTCTCGGGGCTTGTACTGGAACTTCTAGGCTTGACCCTGGAGTGGCTGGAGCAGCTCTAAAAAATTTGAGTGGTGTTTCAGCCTTCTGTATGTGAAACCACCTCTGTGAGGGAAGATGCTTCTAGCAGAACAGGTAGTGTGGACACAGGAGCTGTTGAGTTTTTGCTGATCCTTTGGCAGCAAAGCTGTGTCAGAGGCAGCTCTTGCCAAGCGAGCAGTTCCACCTCCCACCACAGCTTCCCCGATCCTATCCGTTAGCCTGGAGCCCATGGATCTGGCTCTGCCTAGAGCTGCCCTTTAATATTGAGGACCTGTATTTCAGGTTTCTATTTCATGTCACTGCCCCTTGCTGAGAGGATCTCTCCCTCTCTCCAGTTTTGGTGTTTAGGTGCAGACTGAGCAGAAGATGAGGATGGAGGTGATGTGGCTCTTGCACCATGGCAAGCCCTAGTGCCCTGTGTCCACACCTGCACTGATGTGTACAACTCTGCTAGTAGATGCATTGCACCAGCGCTATGTGCTGCGGGACACCGCTCCATCCTTGTAGTGACGGGTTGTGGAAGGTTCTGCTTAGTACCCTTCAGTCCCCAGGGGTTTAAGCTATCTCAGAGGCTTTGTTCTGTGTGAGATGGGGGTGGCAAGCTTCTCCCTCCCTGCTTCGGGTGAGTTTGAGTCTTCAAAATAACCCTGGGTGGGTTCAGGGCTTTGCTTCCTCAGGTGGAGTGGGAGGTGATGTGACAGAGAACTTAATCTGAAGGGAAGATCTTCTCTCCAGGAAGCAGAATCTCTTCCTCTACTCTGGATCTGCTCATCACAGGGTTTATGCATTTCTGCTCCAGGCCACCCAGGAAAAAAGAGAGGCGGTAGTTTGTCTGGTTGTGCTCCATGCCCTGCTAGGAGGTGTGCAGCCCTGCTTGTCTGTGTCGGAGCTGGGAATCGCTTACTAAATATTAAAATGCTGGAGCTGATGAGTTGCAAAGCGCTTCTTGATTTTTTACTTCTTGGATCCAAAACTATGCACTTAAAACTGTAATAAAGCACTGCCTGAACATGTAAGTGAAACAAGTGCCTGTGAAAATCCTTTGTCTGTGCCCATGGGTTACCACAGAGGGTTCTGCCTCGGCTGCGTGTGCCTTCCCATTGCTGACAAGGCTGACGCAGCATCTGGAAAGGGTCACATTTCACCAGGTACAATGAATCGGAGGCAGGTGCTTCCTCAGTGTAAATGGAGATGCAGACCGGAGGTGAGCTCTGTGTCACGGCCCTCACTCTGGACTGTGGTCCTGGGTGCGGCATCCCAGGAGGCTTTTCCCATGGCCAGGCAGGGCTGCCTCTTACAGGTGCTTGGGCAGCTGGGTTGCTGTTTGTTAATGCTCTCCTGACTTAAAGCAAACTGGAAAAGGCAAGTGTGGAATTATTTGATTTTTTGGGGTTTTGCCCCTTTTTTCCTGCATGTGCCAGAGGTAGAGCTGTGGTAGATGCTGCAGAATGCTCAGACCAAAACTGGTTGCTTCTGCTATTGCATCCTTAAGCTGCAATAAAATAGTCTTGAATGTTACAGAGAGAAAAACATGCCCCTTCTCTTATGGTATGTCCTTACTGTTCTGCACCACAGGGCAAGGGAAGCAGAGAAGGTGCCTGAGGTGGCATTGCCACGGCTGTCCCATGGTGGCTGAGAAGTGGGACCGGTGCCTGCCAGGACATTGAGGCTGCTGGGCTGTACCCTGCTGCTGCTGTGGCGTGGGCGTGCGAGAGACCTACAGGCATCTGCTTGTCTGGTTAATTGGAGCTGCTCTCTCCTCTGATCGCTGTCAGCCCCGGCTCTCCCGCCCAGAGCGCAGTCAGCACTGCCAAAGCAATTTTGGCTTCAGTGCTCTGCTCTGGAGAGCCTTGGAACCACCCACATCTCTCCACGGGATGGGATGGGGCATCCGTGGGGACCAGCGAGAGTGAGATGTTTCCCCAGAGCAGCTCAATCTCCCTCTAGAGATGCGCACAAAAAGTAATTTTTTTTCCTAATTAAAGCATCCTGTCGCCTGGCGCCAGAGGAGCGTGGTGACAACCACCCAGTCGGCATGTGGCTGGAGAGCTGGAAAAGGAGCTGCCAGTGCCCATCATGTCCTGTTTGCCCTGCACTGGGAGTCAGCTTATGCACAATGAAGCAGGGTCTCTTCCAAAGCTCTTTTATGCCAAACTGTTTGTTCCCACTGCCACGGGTGCACTCACCCCAGCACGGTCCAGCCTCGTCACGCAGGTCTGACTTGACAGGAGTGGGTGGCAGGAGTGCACACCTGGAGCCTGGGGAGGTGCACAAGCATTGGTGAGTTCCCCCCTCAGCCTCCTCTTCTCCAGGCTAAACACACCCAGCTCCCTCAGCCTTTCCTTGTATGAGAGATACACCCCCACCCACGCTCTGTGTCACCCCCATAAACCTTCCGTGCCACACATTCCTCCCCACCCTGCATGTCACCCCTGTGCTGCCCCCAAGAATCCCTGTACACCTCCCCATGCCCCCCTGGGAACCACT